CACTACACGAAACAAAATTCCACTACACAAAACAAAATTCACGATACACAAAACTCAATTCCACAACACAAAACTCAATTCCACAACACAAAACTCAATTTCACTACACAAAACTCAATTAAACAAAACACAAAACTAACATAATACGACGCTCGCGAAACTTCGCGGGAAACTCGCATGACCACGTTTTCTTAATATTCCGCCATTTTGTGCTGCACTCATAAACAAACCTTTAATCAAAACTGTGCTTTAATAAGTAAACGTAATTCTTGGAAATAAAACGTGCAAGAATTGTGACTCAGAAGTGTCAGAGGGTTTCCAATTTTGTCCAAAATGGGGAAAAACATTGACCGACATGGATACCAACGCATCCAAACCCCGACGTGCTTGCGATACATTCGAAAAGTTCAAAGCTAAAAAATGTCAGCAACGTGCAACATTCTTTCGTGGAAAAACAAAAAATACTGCCCAAAAAGACAAAGATGTGATAATCAATATCGGGGTTGTGAAGTATGACCGTTATTGTGCAGATTCCTCAACTGCCTATACGCCAATGAGGGGAAAATCATTGCCGCTGAAAATAAACGAAGACGCAAATTACGCTCAACTTTTGATAGCAGCATTGACAAAAAGAAAGGCATATGATCAGTCGTTCAATGAAAAGCTGGACTGGGATATTGTGTACCCAGATGGACAGAGTGCGTCAAGTTTACCAGGGCAACCTGATACACCTTTTTGCCTTAGTACCTATAAGGAGGATCTTGGAAAGAATTATTCCAGAATAGTTTTATATCTCTGCACAGAAAATTCAGATGAAAACAATGAGAGTGTTGAGGAAGATACATTCGATCGTATTGGTACGTCATGTAGTGATGGCAAGGAATCACAGTCAAATGAGTCAATCGATATGGAAAGTAGAGAAGAAATGGGAAACAACAAGTAAGTTATTCCTTATTTTCCAAATATAGAATTCATAGACATAGTCCCTACAAAGTCCAAACCTTCTTGTAAGTCTTGTAATATTCCATCTGTCAATGGAAAACCTTGAATGGTTGTCAAGTTGTCATGTAAGCATACAGGGGTTTTGGGGTCAGCAGCCTCCATTTTCTCAGTAAGTGTCATGTATGATATTAATGGTCAATAAACAAGTCTGCAAATTGTATTATTCTTACACTTACCTACACAGGCACACAACATTCAATATATTATCATTTGTATTTTTATGCACAAAATTTTATGTTTTGGCTTTGGGTAGGATATTTAATTAAATTCTGACTAAAGCTATTGTACACTGTATCCTGTGTTGCTGAAAGAAGCACATTTCTTTCATTATTATCATTATTATCATTGTTTTAATTAAGGAGTGAAGTTAGTCACGTGAGCACAAGTGTTGACAGAGACTCGTCCAACACAGTTATATCTGTCCAAGAAATGTCACCAATGAATCATGGAGAAGGACCAAGCACATCAACAATGAACCCAACTGGAGATTTTGATTGGTTGTATGCATCATGGTTGTGTGATGAGGTAGATCTTGCTGGTTATGAAAGCATGAGTGATGTGGAAATGGAAGTTGGCCCAAATGACGAGTCTTCCAATTCCTAGCATTCCACAGTGTCACTACCTGATATACTTAAAAAACTATCCAGTGTTATTAATTTAGATTCAATATCAAAATTCAACATTAGTCGCAGCCATGTATGGGAGGGGACAGTAAGAGCTCTAACAAGAAAATCCTTTTCACCCCATAATAAGGTTTCTGTCAAGTTTTGCGATGATGTTGGTACATCAGAAGGGGCCATAGATTTGGGGGGACCCAAAAGGGAATTTTTTACCTTGGTTCTAGATTGGTTAATGCATTCACAGCTTTTTTGCGGCAGTGATAGTTCTAAGTACTTTTCATGTAATGCTACCTCTCAAGGTAACAATGACTGTTTCCATGCTGGAGAAATAGTAGCAATGTCTCTTGTTCATGGAGGTCCTGGTTTTGGGATGTCTCTCACCAAGTCTTTATCAGTGCATTGTGGAAGGCCCTAATAACGTTCTTGTAAATGCGAGTGATGTATATGATGTTGAATTAAGATCTTCTTTAGAAAAATTATTAAATGCCAAGAGTACTGATGAGGCAAATACAATGATTGACAGGCCTCTTCTAAGTACACTCTTAGATCTTGCAGGAACTTTCAAATTTGTGTCATCTTTGGATGAAATCCCAACACTAGTTCAGCAAACTGTTAAATGGTTCTTACTTGGCAGGTCACATTTTTCACAAGAGCAATTTGTACAAGGGCTGTCTGTGTTAGGAATTTATGATTCTATCTTAAAGAGTCCTGAATCATTCCGCCCAGTTTTTTGCTGCTCACCTCAGCAACTTAATGCTGAAGTCATTTCGCATCTGTTTGAAACTAATTTTAGTGAGGTTGGCTCTAATCGGCATTGCTCTGAATCACTGGTCATATCACATTGGAATGATTATTTGTTGGATGTTGAAGAGAGGGCAGAAACGGAGGTCACATTCAATGATATTCTGTTTTTTGCTAGCGGATGTAAAATTATACCACCATTTGGTATAAAACTGTCTTTAGAGTTTCTACATCATGCTGAAAAAAATGGTGAAATGTCCAAATTCCCAAAGGCTAACACATGTGCTTGCATTCTTTATTTACTTGTCACCCACAGCTCATATGATAAGTTCAAAAAGGCCCTTTCGTTTGCATTTCTTAACACCCGTGGGTTTGGTGAGCCATAACCTAGCAGAGTATCAACATTTGAAATTGCAAACTTACGAACTTGAATAGTTACATAGCAAACATACAAACTTGAATAGTTACAGTTTCCAGACATTGATATTGTATAGAGTAGTTATGTATTAGTATATCATACAGTATTATATAATAATACCTTGGAACTTGGTAGCTGTACAATTTTGTACTGCAGTGAACATGGGTGGTGTGGTGCCAATACAAATCAAGAGATGAAAAAGCCTGATATTTATATTTTTATATATTGTAGGTCTCAGTTTTTTTTGTAGCAGTTCTAATCATTGTCGTGCTACTGGGTACAATGAGAATCTCAGATGAACACACTGAGAAACAAAAGTTTGAGTTAATGAGACTTTCAAATAAAATTGAGTTCTTGTTGAGGTTTCAACAGATGTTTTGACCACTAAGCCTCATTTTTGTTATAACGGTAACATGCAAGTGAACAGGAAAGGTTTGGTGGTAAGAACACTAACTTGCTTGTGAAAACCCCCCATAAGCTTGGTGAACCTCGTACCCAGGGACTGCCCGCCCTATAAAATCAGGCGGGTAATCCCTGGGTATGAGGTTGAAGCTTAGCCCCATTCTTTCTGGAAATATGCCATGCCACCTTATCTACCTACCTTACATAATTTGTAATATGTTTAGTTGTTCATATTTGTTAAAGATTTCTGTTAAAATAAAGGTCATGTCGTACCATGTTGACATAAAGAATGCTTTTTGTTGTCCCGTTTTAATCAGTTAATGGAGACCATTGACCAATAGCAGGGGGTGATGATGACTGATGAGTTTCAGATGTAATAATTTCATTGGTTTGTCTATTTTAAGTATTGGTTAATGTTTGATGACATTGGTGTATATAGAATAAATTATTAATAATAGCATAACAACAAGTTTTAGAATGAAAGTTCAGTATTTCGATTTGAACCCTTTTCCATTAACGCACCTTGAAGTTGAATGCATACAAATAATAAACAAATCCTGCTCCCTCACTAGCCACATAGAGAAAAGGCAAAACTGAACTATGTACTATAGCAATAATCAAACATCAACTCCATTGTTTGCCACAGTGACTAGATGTGTGTAAAGCTGCAATGCTTCATCCCAATTTGATGGTTTAACGAAGTCCGTTTGCGATCTTGCATATTCAAAGTATTCCTGATACATGTTGCTTTCTGGGTCCTCGCAAAATTCCTGCATGTCATTTATCTGCTCAATCGAAACATTCTGTAAGAATTCACTACCGCCATGATTGACAGGAAGATGATATAGCTCATCGGGGCGGCCTGCTACGGTGTCAAACCTCGATCTTCTCACATAGTGACTATTCCAGTGGTCCTTCACTTCGTCAAAATCATGTTGGAGTAGATCAGAAAAACAATACCACAGACATTCCATTTGTAATTCATTCGATGTGTCAATATTACCAATTTCGACCTGATCTTTCAAAAAATTGATCCACCATGATGATCTATTGCGACGTAGAAAAGACCACCAATTTTCTATTCTTTGATTTGAATGCGAGGAGCCATAGTTGTGGGCATTTATACCAGCAAATTCATCATGAGCTCCGGAACGGAAGGAACACTGCATGGTGGCCATAGTACCATTCTCGGTACCACAGTCTGTCCTATGCAAAATCGGACAACCACTAACAGAGCGCACACATTCCAAATAGAATCCTGCAGTCACAGCAGGATCATTATTCGTTCTGCAAACCTTTAACCATAAGATACGTCGGCTGAAGCCATCAATACAGCCATGCACTGGAAAGCCGTAAGGCTTGAGCTTATCGTATCCGTACGCAACGTGCCACGCGAAATTCGGACCGGGATTGATGTAACGACGACGTTTTAAGCGATGTGAGCGCCGGTCATCTGATCCCTCTGGATCCAGCGCTCGAAGGATGCGCTGCACCATGCTTCTCGGTGCTTGAATGTCATATTTCAAACGAAGGCAATGCCACATTGATCGATAACCACGTAAGCAACCTGGGCCATTCAGTTCCTCTCGTATTGCCGCGGTAACTTCTTCCTCGTCAGCATCAACATTTCGCCTTTTTAAACCCATGCTTTGCAACCTGCTTTTCAATGTTCGTAGAGACATTTCAATGTTATGGAACTTCCTTAAAAATGACAAGATAGCCGAGTACTCGAAACCTCTCATAAAGTAATGTGCGATAATATCTATCTCGGTCAACATATTTCCACAGTTTGGACAGAATTGAAAAGTATCAGATACATCTGATCCGCAATTTTGGCACTTGAAGTTCATTATTTGACGTTAATTCAAAGCTTTTTTCAACATTTTTATTTGTTAAATCGACTTTCCATACCTTTAAATTTAATCTTTCTTTGCATTGTGATGACAGTAAGATGGCGGAGTAAAAAAAACATCAGTGGCGGTCAGACCTGCTGGTCATGCCACTTTCCCGCGCTTTCCCGTGAAAGTTGTGCATCGTGAATTGAGTTTTGTGAAGTGGAATAGAGTTTTGTGTAGTGGAATTGAGTTTTGTGTGTCGTGAATTGAGTTTTGTGTAGTGGAATCGAGTTTTGTGTAGTGGAATTTTGTTTCGTGTAGTGGAATTTTGTTTTGTGTAGTGGGATTTTGTTTTGTGTAGTGGAATTTTGTTTTGTGTAGTGGAATTTTGTATTGTGTAGTGGGATTTTGTTTTGTGTAGTGGAATTTTGTTTTGTGTAGTGGAATTTTGTTTTGTGTAGTGGAATTTTGTTTTGTGTAGTGGGATTTTGTTTTGTGCATTGCACTTGTGGGCCACCGTAGGTGCCCGCCTGCCCGGCACTTGTTTTGGCTCCCAGTCGGAACACGACGCTTTCAAATGAAATTGGGCACAGTGCCCAAGAACGGGCACTACCTCTAGAGGTAGTACTCAACAACGGCACTGTGCTCAACATGTTTTGTGAACCATTTTGAACATTGGGCGCCAGTGCCGGGCACTCAGTCTGAACGATGTTGAGCACAGTGCCGTTGTTGAGTACTACCTCTAGAGGCAGTGCCCGTTCTTGGGCACTGTGCCCAATTTCATTTGAAAGCGTCGTGTTCAAACTGGGAGCCAAAACAAGTGCCGGGCACCAGTGCCGGGCACCCAGTCTGGACGCAGCCTAAGTCTGAACTTGCCCCCGTTTCTTTGGTGCCAGAAATAGGGATCTTTAGCAAATGGGTAACGGCAACGCGACGACCAAAACAAACTCGTTCAAATACGGTAACTTTAAGATCAACATGTGTTGTATGTATAGGTTATTTTGAGGCAACGAGGGGATATGTGATTTATTCACCGAGGCGCGCAGCGCCGAGGCCAATGAACACATATCCCCGAGGTGCCTCAAAATAACGTACTTATTTTTCACATTGCGAGGTCGCGTTAATGAGTCAGAATAGAAATAATTCTTAATGCCATATTGCCTTCGTGATGTTGTTTTTTTCTCATTTTATGTGCTGCAAAGACATTGCAGGTGAATATTAGAGGGGATTATTAAACGGAATTTGATTATAGAGGGGAATATTGAATATGATTTTTTTTTTCTGTGTTGGTGTAGTGTACTCAGGTGAATATGATATTTGTGGTGTTACTCTGAGTGTATATCCACACCGGGCGAGCTTGAAAAATATGCCCGGGCATATTTTTCAAGCTCGCCCGGTGTGGATATACACTCAGAGTAACACCACAAATATAATATTGAATATATTCCCCGATAAGAACAAAGGAAACCGAGCAGGGTGAAAAATAAAACTCATTATCTATGTTGCATGGACAGCATGGTCAACGTTTATTCGTAAATCTGGTCCTTCGCCATCACGTGTGTATTGTATTTTTGCCCAACTTGAACCAATCGCAATTTCCAATTTACCTGCAGTTTGTTCGAATCACGGCACAGAATAAAGATCAGTAACAGAAGGGCCACTCAGCGGTGCAACGTGTCCGCGTTTTTTTTATGCAAAAATATGCAGTTTACTGGCCAGAAGGCGGAGCAGCCAGCCAGTACAGCGTGTTTATTGGCCAGAAAATGTCATTGACTGGCGCCGGCTAGGAAAATGGCGACCAACATGCGTAATGCGACATGCGCGAGGCCCTTCTGTATGGATCTTTATTCTATGATCACGGATAGATAGCTTTTCTAAAACATTGCTATTGGTTAGTTGGGCAAAAATACAATATGCACGTGACGGTGAAGGACCAGATTGGTGAATAAACGTTGACTATATAAACCTAATAAAACACTCCTGCTCGTTTATTAAACAGTACATAGTAATAATAATACTTTGGAATACTAGCCCAATGCTCTGCCAACTGAGGTACGCGGTCAGGTCGGTTCGAGTAAGTGATATTTCAATCATGCCACTACATAACCCGCGAACAGGCATACTCTGGGAACGAGATTGGTGATATTTCGGAACTGAATCTGGTTCCTTCGATGTGCCAGGAGAATTTCGACGTTTCGACCCTTCCCTCGAAAGGTCGAAATTCTCTTTATATTTTTCAGGTAGTTGCATCCCTACCAACGAAAACTTGTTATTGTAATTGTAACTGTATCCATGAGTTCAATCCTAGCTAATTCTCAACTCTAATCAACCTCTCACCAACACGAATAAAATACCTGATTACAATACGAGACAGAGAGAATTTAGTTTCGCATTATCTAAGCCAAATACAAATTACATGAAATAGGCTTTTGCTTACAGAGAAGCGCTATTGGCCCGGCAAGCGGGTGAAATTTTCTCGCGGGTTGTCTCGCTAACCGGCATGGCCAGCCCGGTTTCCATATAAACAGCCCCTAAGACCAGCCATTTGCCAATCTATTTGGCATGACTTGTGTTTGTGAATGATGTATACCAATTAATGACTTGCTATCAATGCTATGGATATGTTCATCATGCTGAGAATGGTTAAGCCAACAAAACACCTCGCAATGTGAGAAACGTCTTGTCTTTGAAATGAAAGCTCATTCCAGATAGCTTTATTTTCGACTTTATTTTTTTTTACAATATAGGACCGCTATTTTCGAAACATGCTGGCTATGTGATTTTTATATGATCACGATTTGCAATTTTCACCAATGATCACGATTTGCAATTGTATTAAAATCTTTACTAATTTCTATATTCATAGTCTCATCCGACATAGAGAATTCATTGAGCCATCACGGCACCCTACTGTGTGATTGACTTTCAAAATTCCTTCCAGACTCTTAATTTCACAAAGTAAGGTCATCCAACTGCTAACCAATCTTGCTATGTTTTATATTTCATATATCAAGGACTTGTTATTTATATATATATATATTTTTTTTTTTTTTAATCACTTTTTTGCAAAAATAAAATATTTACATTGGCAAAAGGTGGCCGCACAGGACATAGTCCCAATTGATTACAGCTACCATTTAACTATACTATATAGTACATAATACTGAAAATAGTGGTTACGCCAGCATGACACCTCGCAGTGTGCATAAGATTGTCTTTTGAAATGAAGGCTCGATCATTCCAAGTATTCCAGATAGCTTTATTTTCGTAAAATAAGACCGCCATTTCCGAAACTTACTGGCTATCTCATTGGTTTTTCTATACCAATGATCATGATTTGCAATTGTATTAAAATGTTTTTAAAACAATTCCTATTCATAGTCTC